AATAGCTTGTTATTGGTAGTGAAGAATTCTAAGGTGTCCTGGGCTGCCGGGACTGAGTTCTCAGGAACCAGGTCTGGCAGGAAGGTAGGGTGGAACCCATAATTAGCGAAGAATGGAAATTGGTTGGTGGCGGAATGATTCGCATTATTATATGCGATTTCCGCCATGGGTACAAGTGCCAGCCAGTCATCCTGCAGGAAAGATGTATAGCATCTCAGATACTGCTCAAGCGTCTGGTTCGCTCTGTCTGCCCATTTGTCTGGGGGTGATATGCTGATGAGAAAGATAACTTAATCTCCAGCCCCTCACATAGCGCTTTCCAGAATCTTGATGTAAATTGCACTCCTCGGTTCGAGACAATCTCTTTTGGCACTCTGTGAAGCCTCACAATCTCTTTAATGAATACTTTGGCTGTTTCGGAGGCAGATGGTGTCTTGGCTAGTGGAAGGAAATGGGCCATTTTAGAAAGGCGAGCCACTACCACAAAGATCACGGTGTGGTCTCGTGAAGGTGGCAATTCAACAATAAAATCTAAGGAGATCATACTCCAGGGTCGGTCAGGTATTGGTAAAGGTTTCAATAGGCCCCAGGCCTTGTCTCTGGTGGGTTTATTCCGGTTACAGATGGGGCAAGATCTCACGTATGCTTCACAATCCTTGGCCATGTTTGGCCACCAAAATGTACGTCGTGTCAGATCTATGGTTTTATGTATCCTGAAGTCTCCCGCTAGGGGATGGTCATGGCAGTAACCTAACACCAGGGACTGGATCTCCTTGGGTACCACGATCTGTTCCCCCCTCCAAGAACACGGGTGGAAGCAGCCTGCAACTTAGACAACAGTTCTGATTGCAGCAGTAGAAAACTACCTGCTGGCAGGATGGTGTCTAGCTGGGGCATCTCTCTAGGGTCCTCAAACATCCGAGAAAGAGCATCTGGCTTAGTGTTCTTTGACCCAGGACGATACGTTATGTGGAGATTAAATCTTGCGAAAAATAGTGCCCATCTGGCCTGGCGTGGACAGAGGCGTTTGGCTGTTTTCAAGTACTCAAGGTTTTTGTGGTCGGTATAGACCAGAATGGGATGAAGGGCCCCCTCTAGCAGATATCGCCATTCCTCCAGAGCAGTCTTAATGGCCAGTAATTCCCAATCCCCAATATCGTAATTCCTTTGTGAAGGGGATAGCTTCCTGGAGAAGAAAGCCACTGGATGCATTAGCTCCTTGGCCCCTACCCTCTGTGACAATACTGCTCCTACAGCCACTTCTGATGAGTCTACCTCTAGAATATAGGGCAGTGATGCATCAGGGTGGCTCAGGATGGGAGCTGTTGTGAACAGCTTTTTCAATGCCTCAAAAGCTGCCTGTGCAGCTGGAGTCCATTGGAAACGTACTCCTACCTTGGTGAGCTGGGTAATGGGCACTACCAGGCCTGAAAAGTTCTTTATGAATTTTCTAGAAAAATTGGCAAATCCAATAAATCTCTGAACTCCCTTCTTATCCGTGGGGGCAGGCCATTCCAGGATGGCCGAGATTTTCTGTGGGTCCATAGCGATCCCCGTGGTGGAGATAATTAGACCAAGAAATGAGATGCTTTCTTGCTCAAAACAGAATTTCTCGGCTTTAGCATAGAGACCATGCTGACGGAGACGTTCCAGTACACTCTTAACATGTCCCCGATGTGCTTCCAAAGATGAGGAGAATATCAAGATATCGTCTAAGTAGACAATGACAAAAATATCCAGGAAGTCCCTGAAAATGTCATTGACAAAGTGCTGGAAGGTAGCTGGTGCATTACATAACCCATAAGGCATGAATAGACACTCAAAATGCCCAAACCAAGTGCGAAACGCTGTTTTCCACTCGTCTCCCTCATGTGTCCGAACCAAGTTATAGGCACCCCTGAGATCCAATTTGGAAAAGATGGATGCTGTCTTTAACCTCTGAAATAACTCTGGGACCAAAGGAAGGAGGTAGCGGTTCTTGACCGTAATCTTATTGAGGTCCCTGTAGTCAACACAGGGTCTCAGGGATCGGTCCTTCTTCTCAACAAAGAAAATCTCTGCCCCGGCCGGTGATGTGGAAGGGCGGATAAATCCCTTCCAGAGGCCCTCGTCAATGTATTCTTTTAGTGCCACTAGTTCCTGTTCAGATAGTGGGAAAATGCAGCCGAAAAGGGATCTCAGAGCCTGGGAGTAGATCAATGGGGCAATCATATGCCCGATGTGGGGGAAGAACCTCTGCCCCCTGTGGACTAAACACATCCAAGAATTGATGGTAGGCTGCAGGCACCATTTGGGCTAGCTTGGCATCAGGGCCTACAGCTAATAGGGCCGGTGTATCTAGTGATGCCCTAGGTAAACAATGTTCCTGACAGTATTGTGAGTGGAACTGGACTGACCCAGTCTTCCAGTCAATTTGGGGGTCGTGAGCTCGTAGCCAAGGGAGCCCCAGAATAACTGGAAATAGGGGGGACACGATGTCGTCCAATCGGAGAAGCTCCTGGTGATATCCCGACACCGTGGTGTGTATAGGAGGGGTCTCCTGATCTACCATCCCCGATTTTATTCGAGACCCATTCGTCAGGAAAATATTCACCCAATGTTCTTTGGCGAGTAACGGTATCTGATGCTGGGTAGCGAAACCGAGATTGACAAAGCAACTACAGGCCCCGGAGTCAATAATAGCCATCACCTGTATGCTTCCTCCGGGGAGCTGAAAAGACACAGGTACAGCCAAGTGAGTGGGGTTGCCTGTGCACACAGTAGATATATTAGAAGAAATAGAGGAGGACTTACAGTATTTCTCCGGACAGGAACGCACAATATGACCCGCTGCTCCGCAGTACAGACACAAGTTGTTTACCCGACACCTCTGTCGTTCCTCAGTAGAAAGAGCAGGCAGCATCAAGCCGAGTTGCATAGGCTCGGCCCCCTCTGATGGCTCTGGGCTCCGATTCTGGACACTGACCCTTGGCATGACTGGTAATCTTGGCAGCATCCATGAGGTTCTTTGTCCCTGGCTGGACCTCTCCTGTCTTCTTTCCCGCAGTCGGTAATCGATTTGGATGGCCCGATCGATTAGATCTTCCAAGGAGTCCGGAACTCCTATTCTCACCAACTCATCCTTCAGCGGTTCCGACACTCCCAACCGGAACTGGTGGCATAAGGCTGTGTCGTTCCACTGTGTATCTCCACTGCAGCGTCTGAACTCAGCGGCATAGTCCTCCGCTGCCCGGCGTCCCTGTTGTAAGGAGTAGAGGGCTGCCTCAGCCGAGGCAGCTCGATGTGGGTCATCGTACAACAATGTCATTGCCTTAAAGAAGGTGGCTACAGTACTCAAATGTGGATGGTGGGCTTCCATCAGGTGATGAGCCCATCCGTGGGGTTCACCCTGCAACAGGGATATAACAAATCCCACCTTCACCGATTCGGAGGAGAAGGTCGGGGTTGCAGGTCAAAGTACAGCTGGCAGGAGTTTTGGAAGGCCCTGAACTTCCCTCGGTCCCCACTGAACCACTCAGAGGTCGGTACTCTTGGCTGTGGCGGAGGGATGGTAAATACTGCTCCAGTGGAAGACCCCGCTGAACCCGTGGCAGGAGGCGTACCCACTGTGTCTGATGTTATGGGTGCCGGTGCGGCCATGCTCTGGACCTGTCCCTCCAGGTTCTTGTATCCCTCTTCCAGGGTCTTCACCGCTCGTGTGAGTGCCGCCAGATGTTGGCACATCTCTTCCCAGGGTGAAGGTCAACCTCCAGACTCCGTCATGGTTCTGTCAGGGATCCTACCGCGGTAGCCTCTAGCACTCCACAGACCAGACTCACCCAAGACGAGGAATCTAAGCTCCGACCTGCTTGTTTACCAGGGCCCCTGATGGTGGGGATGGACTTGGAGCAGGCCAAGACCAGGTTGCGGCCCCTGGGTTAACCCAGCTGTGGTAGAAGCACTGTTGGAGGTGTATAGCAGGTGAGAGTCTGATGTGAGGAGGTAACAAGAGCAGATTCGGGCAGGTCGGGTCGGTAACAGTGGTGGCAGTGTAGTACAAAATCAGCAGGCAGAGGGATAAACAGGTCACAAGCCGGGTTCGTTAACAGGAGATCAGAACATGCAGGGTTAAGCAGGAGAATGGTCAGACAAGCCAGGGATCAGAGCAGGAGACAGACAGCAAATCAGGGTCAGGCAGGGTCGGTAACAAAGCAATCTACTAATCAGGAACTTTAGGAAACAGGTAAGACCATACGGCAATTCACTGCAGTCTAATCCTATTTTAAATAGGGCACCCTGTGCCCTGATTGGTGCCAGGCTCGCGATCGCGAGTGTGCATGCGTGAGCGCCGCTGCAATCACGGGTGCCCTGGTCCCAATGCTCGCACGCTAGTGCGGCCGGGCACACCGCGCATGCGCAGACCCGCACGCGATTTTGGCAACCACTGGGGTCCTTGACAGTTACTGTATTGTCTCATGTTCTGTCCCCCACTATAATGTACAGCGCTGAGCAAACCTTTTGGCGCTATATAAATACTGTATAATAATAATGATCATGGCGTCTCGGCCACAAATCACTGGCTGGCACCTGGTGATTGACACCTACAGGAGCCAGACAGCGTGTTCACGTACCCTCTACCTGGAAATGCAAAATCATGTATATATATTGTGGGAACTCGCTTCAAATTGTAGAACTTGGTTAAATGCACACAGCAACGTGCTTTCTTTTTTAAGGCCTTTTTAGCCCACTTTTATTTAAATGAAAGTTCAAAACATCAGAAGTTTCCCACACAGGGGTATCTATCATCCACATAAACAAAATTCAGCCTCCTGGCTCTCAGATATACACAAGCTTCCACTGGCCTTCCTCTTCAGGCTTACGTCCGACTCCTGCAGAATCTTTAAAAAATGGCTCTCGCACACAGCTAGCCACTAGCATACAGCTACTCCTCTCCTTGGTGGAGCCCTCCTGACTCCTCTCTGCCGGGGTGGAGCCCTGAACCCTGGTCCTGACTCTATGAAAAGACCTGCACACACCTGTGCAATCAGTCTCCTGGCCATTCCCAAAATCTGGTCCCAGGATTGGAGATTTCATCCCTCCCAGATCTCTTTGAAATCCCCAGGCTCCAGATCCCAAAATGGACCTTACAAACAAAGGAAGAAAGTGAAAAGCCACTCTCCTCCGTATCAAACACTTACCCTGGAGCCCCTCAACCTGCCTTGTTGAGAATCCTGGGTGACAGATCGCCACACTGTCACAATATATATATATATATATATATATATATATATATATATACACACACACACACACACACACAAGTGATATATATATATATATATATATATATATATGTGATTTTATGTAGAGTGGCCGCCCTGTAGCAGTTTTAGAGCGGTCAGCAAGTGTTTATTTTGACATTCTCATTACTATTTACTGGTTTTAATTACAACCCCATGGAGGGCGATATGGTATTGATGTGAAATTGATATGAAATCTTATGTTCTTTCTAACCCTGATGAAGAGGGCACTTAGACCCCCAAAACACGTTGGTTACTTCTTGAATTGTACCCCTGACCTCTAATGGAATAAAGTTGTACCTGGAACCAGATCATTTACACCAACATTAATACCTGAAGAAAACAATACCATGTGGCAGTGTGATACCATGCCAGGGTCTATATGAAGACTATAACCCAGGATTCTTAATTAGGCATGTTGAGGGGGTCCAGAAAGCTTGTGTCATTGGGAGGAAACTGGCTTTTCAGTTTCCTCGGTGTTTGGTAATATCCATTTTGGGACCTGGAGCCTGGAGATTTCAAAGTGATCTGGGTGGGATGAAATCTCCAATCCTGTGTCCAGGTTTTTAGAACTACCAGCACACTAATTGGTCAGGTGTGTGCTGGGCTATTAGTGGTGAACTGACCATGGTTCTGGGCTCCACCCCACCAGACAGGAGGTCTGGCTCAGGAGTCAGGAGAACTTCACCTAGGAGAGAGGTGGGAGCCAGAGCAGCAAGAAGCTGCTAGGTGTGTGGTCCAAACATTGGTGAGCGAGCAGTCTGTAGAAGACAGACAGGGCCTGGAGTATAGGGCCAGAGACGCAGTGCTGTAAGTGCAAGGGCTGAATGTTTGTATTTTTTTTTAGATGGTAGACAAATGCTTAATAGCCCTGCGTACGAAATTCATGTTATGATGTTTTTTCTGAACTTTTCTGCTAATACAATTGGGCAAGAAAATCCCTTAAAGCTCTACCTTTGATGCTAGATCTTACAACCAGTAAAATAAATCTACGAGTACAGAGCTCTTTCCACTTTCCTCAACTGTATCAGCAATTTGATGGCTCATGTCAGCTGGGAGCACAAGGAACCGTGACAATTATCATTCACAGCATGCCTTGACTATTTTTGGAAAGTTAAAGCAGAACTTTGCTTGAAGTGAAATCCACCTCCCAGGTGGCCTCCATACCCCGTCACCACCATTATGACACATGCTCAGATGAACCCAAAGGCTCTTCCTGACCTTCTGGTCTTGGCAGAGCCTGTGGGTACATTTGGGCATATGCAAAGACATACTTCCCAGGTTGCAGTCTTTGCTTGTGTGTGGGAAACCCTGCTGCTGCTCTCCCCCAAATTTCTGCCTGATGTCAGATCTTTAGTTCCATATTATAACCACTTGCTTACTGACCAACAGTAATTTTATGGCTGGCTGGTGGCTTCCCCAGCACCGCAATGTTTGGTGCGTGCACAAGCCCCCTGCTGCAGTTGACACAGCACAAGTTTGTCAGCAGGCTATAGCCAGTGATTTTGGTTGTAAACCTGCTGATTACTGTGGGCCAACCACAACACATAGATCTGTGTGTTTTTAAACACAACACACAGGATTTAGCTGGTTCTTTCTCACTGGTCTGTTGCCATTCAGAACAGAGATCAGTAAGAAAAGCGAACCAATCTGTGAGTAAAAGTGGCACACATACACTTGATGGCACACAATTAACCCCTTGATTGTCCTCCTGATCACCCCTGTTACCCAGCCAGTGTCATTAGTACAGTGTACAGTATTCACACTGATCACTGTATTAGTGTCACTAGCGACATCAGATAGCGTCAGAGTGAGTTATTCTCTGAGTTGCAACTAGATATCTGTAAAGTTAATGCCCAAAATGTCCAAAAAAATGTACACTAGTAAGGACTGAAGGCATACTGGATTCTGAGCATGACAGATGAGAATGAAGGGGGGACCTCACTGTCAGGCTCAGAATATGAACCTGTAGAAAGCAGCGGAGTCCTGGCAGCTAGCTTAGACGATGGTGAAGAGGTCCCTGATAAAACCAGGTGTACGTGACCCCATGTTGCTGAGGTGCTACAAACACATAATTATGCTCAGATGTGGAAGGGCGCAAATACTAGCGCTGCATTTTTGGTAGTCTGGCAAGCATCAACAGCGTAGTACATCCTGGCCTTTTAGACATCAGCACTGAAGTATTTCATGGTGAAAGCCATCACAAATTCGAGCAGAGGCCCATAGACACCGTAGAAGCCTTCCAGAGGTGTTTGTAAACCCTAATTGGCTTCCCCCAAATTCGGTAACATCGTTTATCCCCCCATTCACAGCCCAGCCTGGGGTTCAGGTGGAAATAGCCAACTAACAATGGCCCTTGAATTTTTTTAGCTGTTTTTCTCTGAAGACCTTTATGATTTGATTGTGGAGCAAAGTAAAGTTTATGCCCAACAGTACATTTTCTCCAACCCAAATTCATATCTTGTCAGGCCACAGGAGTGGAAATCACGATTTCCAAATGTAACCCTTTTTATTTGGCCTAACTTTTAACATGGGCTTTACAAGAAAAGAATTAATTGTGGTTTACAGACTTGATTTATCACATGCTCATGTTCTCTGCTGTAATGACCAGGAAATTATATCAGCTAATAACGTGTTTTATGCATTTCAATGAAAATATACTCTGTCGTTCTCAGGGTGATCCTGACAATTATCACATCCACAAAATTCGGTTCCTCGTAAATTACCTGTCCCAGAAATTTGCAGATGTGTATAGGTCCTAACAAATTATCTGCATAGATCAGTCCCAGTACATTTTACTGCCAAGTTTGCAATTAAGCAGTATCTACCCAGCAAGCTGCCAGATATGGGATCAAAATGTATAAGCTCTGTGAGAGGGCCACAGGCTATACATGCCGCTTTAGAATTTATGAGAGAAAAGACAGCCGAATTTAGACCCCCAGATGCCCATACTAGTGTAGGACTTGTCACCCTTGCTCAATATGGGGTATCATTTGTACATGGACAACTTTTATGCAAGCATGCCACTTTTTGAAAATTTGATCCTTAATAAATTTGGCTGTTGTGGCACCATGCGACTTAATCGCAGGGGCTGCACCCAACATCTCCCCCACTTAGGGGGAGAAAGTCTGCTTTCAGAATGAAGAGCTACTAGCAGTAAAATAGAAGGACAAACATGATGTATTCATCCTGTCTTCCATTCACCCAGACACAACAGTCCACATTAACACAGTGTCTGATATAGTTGAAACACCTCTCTGCGTCCAGGACAACTAACACCTATATATGGAAAGTGTAGGCTTCAATGGCCAAATCACGAAGTCATATTTAGCCTCCTGCAGAGCTAAACAATGTTTAAAAAAGGTGTCTATATACAGTTAGGTCCATATATATTTGGACACGGGCAAAATTTTAGTTTTTTTTTCAGGTATTTACTAAAACATATTCAGGCTATAGTTATATGGGCTGAAAGTGCACACTCTCAGGTTTAATTTGAGGGTATGTACATCCAAATTGGAGTAAGGGTTTAGGGATTACAGCTCTTTAAGAGTAGCTAAGGGACCAAAAGTAATTGGACAATTGAATGTAATCATAAATAAAATGTTCATTTTTAATACTTTGTTGAGAATCCTTTACTGGCAATGACTGTCTGAAGTCTGGAGCCCATGGACATCACCAAAGGCTGGGTTCCCTCCTTTCTGATGCTTTGCCAGGCTCTAACTGCAGCTGTCTTCAGTTGTTCTTTGTTTGTGGGTCTTTCTGCCTTTAGATTTGCCTTCAGCAAGTGAAATGCATGCTCAATTGGGTTGAGATCAGGTGATTGACATAATTGGACCCTTTACATGTGCTTCCTGGTCCGTAGCCCGGGACTTTATCTGCACCCAATCGGGTCTTCCCCTCCATCAGGGTGGGTCTAAGGACTGGTAAAACCACTCTACACCTATCCTCCTTTTGCGAGCTCTTGCACTCTTCCTCCAACATTCATCACCCACTTTCTGAGATTGAACGGCTGTGCTCCCTCTCTAAACTACCATGACACGTCTTAGCTTCTCTCTATAAAGTGCTCCACAATGCTCTTCACTCTGAACTCCCTCCCTACACTAAGGCGTGGGCTCGAGACCTAGGTAAGGACATTCCGGCGGAAGATTGGTCCACGTCGTCCCACTTTACTCATAAATCATCTATTTCTTGCTACTCACAAGAAAAGAATGTTAAGCTTCTTTCTCAATAGTACAGGGATCCCCTCTCCCTACACCAAATTTTTCCTTCTACACCTGATCTTTGTTGGCACTGTAATAGAGCTGTTGGTACACAGCTCCACATTTGGTGGGATTGTGATCAAATACAAGTCTTTGCTGTATATAACTGGATCTATGGTGAGTCCTTGGCCCCTTTTCCGGAAATTGCTCTTCTATCTATATTACCGAGCCCATGGGCAGCACAGAAGAAACGTCTGTTGCACTTATTTCGGTCTGTGGCCCGCCAATTGATACCCCTTTTGGAAAACGTCCATCCCCCTCCTTTCCTGATGTGGGTCTCTGTGCTTAATGATACCATGCGTATGGAGGAAATGCTGGTATTTACCAATGATACCTATGATAAACATAAGTTGCTGTGGTCGATCTGGCTCCATTTCTCCTCCTCTGCAACCCTCCGAGATATGTGTTCCCCTGTTGCACTCTAGTGGAGTTGAGCCTTGCTCCCACGACTAATTTTCATTTTGGCTTATCCACCGATTGGGCCCTGCGGTCCTTGCCGAGATGCGGGCGGTGTGGTCACTTAGGTGAGATTCGGTTGAGGAACCACCCTACTGTTGCTTTCTACTGTCCCAGTCTCCCAATCCCCTCTCTTCTCCTCTTTTTGCTTTCCTTTCCGCTGACTTCCCCCCCCTTTTTTTTTTTTTTAGTTTACAACTTTGGTTGTATGGAGTTTTCTCATATTGTTCCAGGCATCTCGCCACAGGGATACCCCCCTGATACTTTATTATGTTATACCTCCGTAAAATAAGTTATGGATCCTTCCCTCTTCATGTTTTACTACATCATTTTCATACATCTACATG